CCCCCTCCCGCTCTCCATGTGGACTCGAGGGTTCGATGCGGACTTTTCAGTAGGGACGTGCAAACCGTCCACGCGTATTGCACTTCCCCTTTTTATCCCTAAAGGAGGGAGGACTTCCTCGCTGGGATGAGATGTCATCATCGTTTATTTCATCCGATTATATATTTATCGGGATCTCGACCCCTTTATCGATCAGAACCCCATCCCTTAATGATTGGCATTTCGCTAAGGTTGAAAAAAAAACCTCCTAGACACAGAACCTCTCTGTCGAATGAATCTTGTAGAACGAGAAAGAACCTCGAGAAGAAAGCAAAACCCCTGAAAACTGCGCAGTTGGCAACCTTGCGACGAAGGGAATGGGAATGGGAAAAGCTGCGTGGACGCCTCTTATCTGCGATTGAAGCCTCGAAATAGGATGCGATGGGACCTCCACCTGGCCGGGTTCCCCTGGGAATTCGCCTTGAAAAAAGGCGCAGCCGAGGCACATCCGCATCCATTCCGCTGCTCTCCAGCGAAGCGCGCAGGTAAGTGGAGGCTCTTGCATCTCGACGCGAATTCGTCTACAGAAGCTCCTTACAGACATGAAGTGGCAAACGTTCGTGGCGGGATTGTTCCCGCTGCTGCTGGAGGGAGCGCTGGGATACTTCGATCCGGATTGCGGTGGGAAACAGGTCATTGTTCATCTTTTCGAATGGAAATGGACAAGCATCGCCGAAGAATGCGAGCGATTCCTCAGCGCGGCTGGCTTCTGCGGCGTTCAGGTAAAATCATTAAAATATCAATAATTCCCAGGACGATTGCATCCTTCACGTCCGCAATTCAAACAGGAGTTGAAGTAATAGGCCTGCATAGGTGTCGCCGGTGCACGAGCACGTGATAGTAACCACGGACGCAATGCGCCCTTGGTGGGAGCGGTACCAACCGGTCAGTTACAAGCTCACGTCCCGAAGCGGAACGGAGGAGGAATTCATCGACATGGTCCAGCGATGCAACGCCGTCGGAGTGAGGATCTACGTGGACGCCGTCTTGAACCACATGGCCGGACTCGGCAGATCCGGGATCGGGACTGCCGGCTCCTCCTTCGATTCCGATGCCCACGATTTCCCCGGAGTCCCCTTCACCGTCGCCGATTTCACCCCCCGTGACATGTGTCCCTCTCACGACGGTAACGGTTCCCACGTTCGACTTGAAAATGCGCGAAAGAATCTTGACGGAGTAATTTCCTTCCACAGGGAACGTGAACAACTACGGAGATCCAAACAACGTGCGGAACTGTTACTTGGTCGGCCTGACCGACTTGTACGGAGCGACAGACTACGTCAGGCAGAAGCAGATAGAATATCTGAATCGGCTGCTGGAAATCGGGGTCGCTGGCTTCCGAGTCGACGCCGCCAAGCACATGTGGCCCGCGGTAAGAAACGCTCTAATTTCTGTCCTTTGACCTTTTAAAACCCGTGGAACTCTCCTCTGTAAAGGACCTGGAAGCGATTCAAGGAGGACTCAGCAAACCGGCTTTCTTCTATCACGAAGTGATCGACAGGAATGACGGAGCCGTGAAGGTCGACGAGTACTTCCACCTTGGTCTGTCCTCACTTCGATGTCGATGCACCTCCCAGTTTTTTTTTTTTAATAACAGTTTATCGTTTAAATTTCATTTCATTGTATTTTTGTGATTGTTTGCAACGTCAGTGGGCTTTTCATATTATGGGGTCCAATTCGCCAAATGATACAGTCTCGTGGCTCTTCCTCGTCGCCCTCAAAATATATTTCACAAAGAAGGTACTTAAAGGTGCATAAAATATATTTGTTGCATATGCAGGTCGCGTGACGGAATTCCGGTATTGCTCCAAGATCGCCACGGGCATCCGGGATTTCAGCCAGTTGGGGAACTTGATCGACCTTGGCTGGGGGATGTGCCCATCTGACAAGGCCTTCGTCTTCGTCGACAACCACGACAACCAGAGGGGACACGGAGGCGCCGGTTAGAACGCGTGGCTGTAGTCTTCGCTGCAGTCTTCGCTGTAGTCTTCGCTGCAGTATGCCTTCGAATCTGAATCACGAAATGCTTTGAGTTCCTTTCAGGTGACGTGATCACCCATAAGGACCCGTTCCTGTACAAGCTGGCCATATCTTACATGCTTGCCTATCCGTACGGCTTCACTCGGGTCATGAGCAGCTACTTCTTCGAAAGCACTGATGAAGGTCCTCCACACGATGGAAATTACAAGTGAATGGCTTAAAAGTCTCCTTCGCAAATTTTCCCTAATACATAAATTAAAAAAGCCAATTTCTTCCATGAAGCACCCTGGATGTCACGATCAACCCAGATGGAAGCTGTGGAAACGGATGGGTGTGCGAGCACAGATGGGCGCCCATCACCCGCATGGTACTTCGAACGTTGATATATTCTGGTCGAGTTCACTGGTACTTTTCTTTCAGCGGGGAATGCCGTTTCAGGTTGCATTCAGGAACGCTGTGGCAGGGACAGAGTTGGCAAACTTCTTCTTGGAAGGCGATAACGTGGCCTTCTCTCGAGGGGACAAGGGATTCTTCGCCATCGCCAAGTCTGGCTCCATGGATAGGACGTTTCAGACCGGTATGATGAGGACTGATGATGATGAGGACTGGGATGACCACGAATGAGAATTACTTGCTTTCATGGCAGGGATGCCGGCGGGGACGTACTGCAACATAATCGACGGGTGTGCGTCGCAGGTGACCGTGAACGGTGACGGGAATGCGCAGATCCGCATCACCAATGCCGATGAGCCGATCCTGGCCATCTGTCAAGGATGCGATGGAGACACCTGGCCGACCCCTGACCCGAGTCTGTCTTCATTCATCCGCTTTTCAGCGACTTTTTTCTCATATCGCTTGCGTTTGGGGTCTCGTATTGCTTCTTGGCTGGTGGGAACTGCTGCGTTCCTGTTGGATGCGAAACTTTTAGGGATAGAAATGCACCGAATAGCTTTTTTTGCATTCCTGGACACGTCGTTTCTCCTTTCATATTACTTCTGGTCATCTCCTGCTGGTTGCCTCATGTCTCTTGGGGAATTCAGGCTCATCGTTTTCGCCCATGTCCTTCGGTATGACGATTGCACTCGTTTCCTTTGCACTGGCAGCTGCAACGACGCAGTCGACGGAGCCGACCACCGTGGGACCCACGGAGCCGCCCATCACGGACGGCATCCATCGGACGGTCGTGTTGATCCACAAGCAGACGAATCCGGGGCAGGACATGTTCATTCGGGGTGGAGTGGGGCACGATCAACGGCCCGGTATGGTCTTTGCTTTCTTGCTGACGTTTTCGGCGGTGGATGTATGCTGAGAGAAGTTTTCGCAACCTGGGAAGAGATCAGGGCTGGAATTTCGAAATTGAGAAGTTGAGGATTGATCATGCGAGTTAAAATGTTAATAAATAGGAATTAAATGGGGGCTAACACAATGCTGGAATCGGGACGTACATTTCCAATGAATGTACGTCCCCTCTCCAAAATTATTTGAAATTGCAAATTCAATTAGAGTGATGATATTTGGTAGTTACCTTTGCCAGGGAACGAATTTGAACGTAATATGTTTATATTTCGAGTTTCGATGACCATCTAATGAGATTCCAGGTCTGACCGAGTAGATTGGTTGTTTGTAATTCAGACTAGAAGGTGGCTTTTCCAAAGATTCTCTTTTCCCTTTTCTCAAGATGATGACCAAAACTAATTGGAATTGGAAATCTTTAAAATGTTTAATGATATTCAACATATATAGCAATGGTGTCCAAACTGCGGCTCCCTAGCAGTTCAAGTGTGGCTCGCGAAGAAGAGCAGGGACCAGAGTAATTAATTAATGGGCTAATCAGACTGTAGGTGCTGGAGAATGCAGGCGTTGCATCGTGTGTCTTGTGGCTGTAGGACCTGGTACGATTTAGTTATGCAGCTCGTAAGTGCAGGAAGTTTGGCCATCCATGATGTAAAGAAAGACTTCTTGAATGAATTAAGATTACGGAATTTTTGTTCATTTTTACAAGAGGACAATACCCTCGGAGATATTGTGCATTGAAAATTTTGGCTTATATTTGAAGAATTCTGATTTGGTGCGAAATGTCTGCAAAATTACTAAACATGAGTATACTTTTTTTCCTTGAACTAAGCCCTGTATGCGAATTTTTTTTTAGCAATACAAAGCAATGGGAAATTAATTTCATCTAAATGGAACTATCTACATTAGGCAGCTGCCTAGCTACTATACAGAGTTTCAAAGTTTAAAGCACGGAACTTACATTCCATATTCATTACAAAATTCAGAAGTGTACCTGAGGATATGTAACGATGACATTGCAAATCTGCGAGGAAGAAACAGACAATTGCTGATATATTGGTCGAAATAGGCCATCGTATTTGTCCCAGGATGATAAACCGGAAAGATGGACGAGAGGATGAGACGCTCAGCGGCGAAGATAATTATTTTGCTTTGCCCATTCCCTCTTTCTGAATCAGGATGCGAAGAAGATGCGGAGACGAGCGAGTGTGCCATCAGCATAACGACCAATTCCCTGGGAGAAGCTGCACACTACGAAAAATACAATTCCTGGAGGGAAGGGGACACTAAGCTGATTCTGAATCAGGATGCGAAGAAGATGCGGAGACGAGCGAGTGTGCCATCAGCATAACGACCAATTCCCTGGGAGAAACTGCACACTACGAAAAATACAATTCCTGGAGGGAAGGGGACACTAAGCTGGATTGGTATGGAGTGCAAACTGGACAGGGAACGTTTAATGGGCAACCGGCAGATGGAAGCCCTCTCGCCTGGACCTCCCATCTCACAGCCTCTCCCGGCTATCAGCCCTTGAACACGTAAGACTTTATCGTCGAAGTAGTCCTCTCCCTTTTATCGGACTGTGAAGGCATGCCTGGGTTCCAGTTACGGAGAGCATTACTGGATGTTGGATATGGACATGGATTGCTCGGAGACGGAAGAGGGATGGTTCGAGGTGAAGGCGTACGTCACGAATGGAGTCGGCTGGGAAACGGATGTGACTCAGGCAACGAATTGTTTGGGGTCCGCTGGTGGGTCTGCTCCTTATGGCTCTCCCAATCACATGGGAAAATGTGGTTACCTCAACGTCTTCAAGTTCTCCAATCCCATCTGCACCATCGAGGTGATGAATGCATGGTAGACGGAGCGACATTTCCTATCAATAAAATGCGTTCTGTGCACGGAACTAAAAAATTCCTGAACAGATGTCTGAACACCTGTATGATTCCCAGAGCAATTCGTTGTCCATCATGCCTGGCTTCTGTTTCTCTCGATGCCTTGAGACTATGCACAAGGAGATATGAGTTGTGCCTGTCCACCATCAAACTGACCCTCAAAGTTCATATTAGTTCTTTTGAATACTCCTCCCCGTAAAAGCATTTTTTAGGAACGCTTTCCCTATTGGCCTCAACAACTTTAGCTACATCTAGTCTATTTCCAATGAAACCACTAACAATTCTCACCTCCTGCACGTCAAAAATACAGAAAAGCAAGAAAAGGAAAGAATCGCATGAAATGGAATAATGCCAGCCAATACTACGCATAAAATACCAGACACCTTTTACTAGCTTCCTGACGAACACCATCTCTATCCTGAAACTACTTTCGGATGATGACCATTTTCTCGTACGTGGTTCTCATAGGGAAAATGAGCACATTTCTGGCCTGGACTTTATGACTCTATCTGGATGATGGGGATGACAAATGAGGAAGTGTCTAAGTTTATTGATTGCTACAATGAAGCAAGGTACCATATATAGGCCATCAATCTGACAATGTCTACAACAGAAGAAGGTTCACATAATCAACGATAGATGACGCCAGAGTATCCGCTATAGAGAGTCATTACCTCATACATTTGGAATTATCTCCGATAATTTCCTTGAGGTGTCCCATCTTTTTCCTACACACACCACACAGGAAGACATTTGAATTCTTGAACAAATTGGCCCTAAGAGACACCCCAGTCGAAGGAGTTGCCAGAGGACACTGACCCAGAGGAAGAAGGAAATAGAGGCATTCCAGCTCAAGTGGTCGAATTTTCATTTCACTTTCATTGGGCATCGGACTCCGATGTGCTTGAGAAAAACAATTTTGGCATGTTGAAATGGAATACTCATGAAAACATTTCATATTTGAGCTCTCTAGCTTTAACTATTTTCGAGATTTGCAGCCCTAAACTTAGCCCCCAAGGCTATTGCTATGTGCTTATGTATGGCATTTTCATATGGTTTATTCATGCTCCTCCGTGGACTCCTGTACTGCAGAGACGAATTAAATAGCTTTTTAAAATGGAAATTTGCACCTTCGCGAATTTGTATTCTACTACGTTGAAAAAGTTCGGAGACTTTGGTCACAGCCATCGAACGTAGCATTGCTTCTAAAAGACTAACGGTTGTGCGCCTTGCTTGGGTCCCACCATATATGCTATCCATGAGCTCATGCGCTGCCTCCCGAGTTGCAGCTACTTCCAAGTGGCAAAAATTACGTTCAGGAAGGCGTTCAACCCCGGCTCAAAGATGTTCTTTGACGTTCGTGGTTCAGGGAAAAGCAGTATTTGGACGCTCAATGCCATGCCGTTTCATCACCAATACATTACATTATTCACGGACGTTCTTTGTACCTTAAATAAGCCCTTTCCTTAAACATAAATTATGCTATCAATCTGACAAAGGCTAGAAAAAAAAAGATGGTTAACGCTATCGACGATAGATAACGCGAGAGTATCCACTAGAGAGAGTCATTACCTCATACAGCTGGAATTATCTCCGATATTTTCCTTGAGGTGTCCCTTCCTTTTTCCTACACAGACACCACAGAGGAATACTTGTACACTCCATTAGAATAATTTATTCTGCGATTGCCTGTGACCCCTGTCAGGAGAGCAGATCTTTACTTGGGACGAATGCAACCCTTTAACGCTGTAGGGCAATATTCCATTAACGTCCAAATATCGGAAACTTAAACCGTCAATACAACGTTTCAAAAGACGTTCGATGCACGTAGGCAGTATCTTAAAAGGGACGTTCGTTAAACATTCATTAAACGCAACGGTGCAACTTAGGCAAGGTTCCATCAATTAGACCCTTCATGTGTCAGCCGTCCGGCGGCCAGCATCGAACCGGATCCGCCGTCGCAGTTCGCTGATCTGCTACTTGCTGGCGCCTGCTCGTTTGTCCTGCCACATCTACTTTATTCCCGGATCGTTTCAATGGATCTATGGTGGCATCACCGAATGAGATTGCTTTAATGGGGCATTGTGACACAACGGCAGGATCAATGACCCAGAGAGCAGGATTAACATATATACTGTAAGTAAAATTCTTGCAAATAAAACTTTCACGAGATATGAAAGAGTTATGAGAAGGATTCATTTTTCTCATGGTTTTTCTTCTGATCATTTGATACGATGATGGATATACCCTCCTCGTCATTCGTCGTCCACGCGCCAGTTATGAAGGGAAACAATGATATAATTAGGAGAGTCATGGTAATCAATTTCCTCCACGAGGAAATGGGGGGGAAGACAAAGATTTCGTCCTCACATCCATGCAATTTTAATATATTGCTTTCCACATCATCAACGACGTAGGTGGCACCTTTGTATTTCTATCGATAAACGATCCGCTAGGTGTATCATTAATTTTCTCCAGGCCTTTGCCCTTTCAGAAGGGAAAACCAACTCATTGGCCTTTTGATCTATTGCAAATGTAATGTCTCTGGAATCGTTCATTTGGATTCTCTTGCAGCAAAACGCGAAACTTGTTACGAAACGAAAGCAAAAGCTGAAGCTCAGCTTCCTGGGAACCCAGCACGGCCCACTTGAGTCTTTTAACAAAAAATTTACTTTTCTCCCTATTTTGAACGGCACGGATGATATTTCTGGACAGTATTTGGCATTTAAAAACCGCATGGCGAGGCCACGTTTTTAATCATTTTTTTTTACTGACTTGTAGTTAAAATAATTGCTGGAAATTAATTTACAGTGCAATATACATTTGAAGTATACCACTTGGCAAACCTTCTTCACTTTTGGGCAAAAACAGCCGCCTCACAATCCATCAATCTGATTTTTTTCCAATTTTTTTCTTCAGCGCATATTTCGCAATTCACAGTAGTCAAGAGGAACCATAATTAAATATTCATTTGATTCATAACGAGGGGGAGGGAATAAGATTTCTGCACTTTGCCACGTAAAACTAATTCTCACAACTATTGGATAATGTAAGCATTGCCAATCAACTATGCCAGTAATATCTTCGAAACGAGAGCCCCGCTTGATTGACCAGGCGGAAAATTCGCATATGTACCGCCGATATCGAGAGAGCGACTGAACCCGGGATACTAGGATCCTTCTCATTTTCGACGTTCTCATCATCCATGAGAGAGGATGTGATAATCCCGAAGACCTGATGAGTGTCACTCAAAATTATGCACGCCAAATGCCAATTCATTCCCTGGAGGAACAAGTCTCTCAACAAGAACAAGAGCACTCAACGATGAAGAGCACTTTATAGTCCAGATAATCATCCGTAATTTGCTTGGAGAGGGTGTAAGCCGGGACTCTCCCTCATCTTCCACGTTGCTTGCAAGAAACTGCCTGATTTTGGAACTTTAAGCCGGAGTCCATAGGAGTGAGTGCCTCGTCGTCCATCGATGACCATCGTGATAAAGTGTCTCTCGGGCCCATTCTCTGATCAAGTGGGTCAATGGAACTCGATTCGTTTCTATTGCCTGGGCTTCCATGTATTAATTCACAAAGTTTGATTCTGTCTCGTTAGGTGGAAGGTTTACATCATGGCTCTTGCATGGACAAGTGTCCACTCGCTTGGTCGAACCGTACCGTCGTCGTCAAGCTTCTCTGACGCAATGTTGCACTGGAGATGAAATGATCGTCCCTTTTGCATCATGCATGAGGCTTTTGTCACTCGAGAAATGGTACGACACGAAATCGATGGAGCGATCGGAACGGAGGTACAACTTTTTCCTCCATGGCAATCATCCGTGAGAGGCATCACAATACATTCGCATATCGTGGCGTTAAGACTTTTATTCATCAACAAACTGAACTACTCCGGTGCGACAAAACTTATTGAAAATATCTGCTTTTGTTTCCGATGAAGCACACTATATGAAAGGCACGTGCAAAATAAGTCTTCTTATAATTGTTCATTAAAAACAAGTGATGTTAATCTTTTTTTAAATAAGGCCTCGGAATATAAACATTCATTGTTCGACTGTGAAACTTTCATGGGGCGATTTTCAACCTCTTATTTCACTAAGAGAACGTTCCCAGACCATGCAACTGGCCGGTACTCAAGAACATGAAAAGCCAGAAAATTAATTACATCATCCGGAACACACAAACGACCCTCCCCCCCCCGCAGCGCGAGCAAATGCGAAAAATAGTTCTAGGCAGCGCAGATGTGGAATGTTCGCACATGCATCATGCAGGAGGCACAACAGAATATTAGATGAAATCGATGACAAGGTTCGATACTCAGTTGCAGAGCACTCCATGGTCATAAATGGCATGGCTTTTGAAAACGAGCTTAAAACAAATTCCAATGAGTGGTCAAATATTGAAAACTGCTTTGAAGGAGCGCATCCATCAAAAGATTCTTGTCGAACCCTCAAATTTTAGGGGGTGAACATCTCGAAACGGATATTATAAAATTTTACGTTGGTTCCTAGAGAAACTTTTGTATATTTTTCTCTGTATTTTTCATTTCCTTGACTCGAAAATGCAACTTTAGTTGAATAAAGTACCGATTTCAAACAGCTAGAATTCGCTAGCTAGGATGAGGGGCTAAAGAAGGAAGTTCTGAATATTACGCTTTCTTAGAATGAGACAAAAAAAAGTATTATAATTGTGAAAGCAATCGAAACTTTCTTCGTTGTCATGCCAAAACAGGCACAAGTTGGACGCAATACATCCAACTTCTATTTTATCCAGTATTTTTTAGTTTATGATGTCATGCCTTGGCTTGGAGAGTGTGTCGTCCAGAAGCATCCGAAGCCTCTTGGTGAAAATATTCGCTCTGTGTCGGTCGCATGTCGGCTTTGGGATGGAAGCAAGTCGAGCCTCGAGCGACGTCACGAGGGAGGCACCGCCATCCCGTCGGAGCGCGTCCGCGGCCGTCCGGATCTCTGGGAACTCCCAGTTGTTGAATTTGTCCCCCGTACCGTGGAGGATGGAGATGCCCTCCTCGGTCGCCGAA